GTCTTCGGTGAAGTGCCTGTTCATATCCTGTGCCCATTTTTCTATTGGATTATTTACCTTTATCTTGTTGTGGTGCTCAAGTATTTCATAAATATATAATATTTTAATACCACATTTATCACTAAGAAATGAAAGTTTCATGTAGCAAATTTTCTGCAGGTGGCTTTCTACTCTAATATGTCTGTAGCCTACACCAGCTGACATATTTTCCTGAGAAAATGACTGCCAGTTAACTCATTTTAACAGAAAATACTTAGCCAGAGAGAGGAAGCTGCTTTGTACAATAAAGGAATACAATTATCTTCCTCTTTACAATGAAAAATAGTGGTAATATTTAACAATGAGTGGATGATGCAGGGCCACTAACTACTATGGATGTACAGCTCTGGATCTTCATGAGTTTTCCATCTTTCCTAGATGAAAAGATGTGAACTAACATAATGTCTGCTTTTATCAGACACTAATCTGGCCATTCTCTGTAAAACATTCATTATGAACTTGAGATTTCTAACTTACTATGAAGCTGTCAAGGATTCCATTTTACTTAGATTCGCAATCAATGCCCATGGAAGCAGCAGTGAAGAAATCAAATGCCGTACAGACTGGGCAAATGTACTACTGCACAATCACCTCTTCAAAGTGCTAAAAAGCAAAAGTACCACTTTGGTGACTAAGGTGTCATTCACCCAAGTCAAGCTCTCTGCAATCACCTCATATGCATGCCAAAGCTAGAAAAATACGGAAGACTAAAGAAGAATTTACTAATTTAAAATACGGTGCGAGCAAAGAATGTCAGAATTTTTTCATTTACAATCCAGTACAAGGCACAGTTATGTCATCTAATTGTGAACCATATCCCAAAATAACATCATCAAGGAGTTATAAAGCAAAATTGGAAAATGCAATCAGTATTTTCCGTTGTACGTATGAAATACTACCTACCTCTTATGCATATCCAACAATCATCTTTTTTGTTGTGTTTTTTAAGTTCTTCTTCAGTTACATCAATTAAGCTTCCCTTCAGCCCTGTCAGATCCTTTCCACTTTTGGTCAGTCGAAGCCAATCCATAAGACTTCTGCCCTGTTTTAAAGGAACCTAAAAAAAAAGGAAAACAAAAGAATTACATTTGGCTCCAAGGACTTTGTTCCTTGCCTTCAAGATATTTCATTATTCTTATTCTTGGTTTTAAAGACGGTAATAAAAGACAATCTAACCTTTTTACAAATCTACTTACAGTTTCAAGAGATTGTCAAAATTGTTGTTGCTGAATCAGAAGTATATAGTTATACTGGGGATTATACAGCAAATTTACATAGCTATATTAAAGGGTTGAAGGCATCATCTGTAGGGAGCTACATTACCAACGCAAAGGCCTCATCTCTCTAGTAGTTGGAATCTAGCAGCTGTTCCTTAGAAGGAAGATAGGCAAACTCCTCCCATGTGATTTGTAGTTTTGGAAACCTACTGGTGGATCAGAAAGCTGGAGACAATGACCAGAGATGACAGAAGGAGAACTGATGCCTTTGAGCTGTAGTGTTGGAGAAGAGTATTGAATATATACCATGAACTGCTGGGAGAACAAACAAGTTTGTCCTGGAGAAGGTATAGCCAGGCTGTTCCTTGGAGGCAAGGATTCTGAAGTTCCATCCGACATACTTTGGACATGTTGCAAGGAGTGACCAGTTCTGGGAGAGGGACGTCATGCTTGGGAGAGTGGAGGGACAGCACAGAGTGGAAGACCCCGATGAGATGGACTGACTTAGTGACTGGGCTTTAGGGGTAGGTGTAACACAGACAATAAGATTGGCACAGGATAGAGCAGGATTTAGGGCTGTTGTACACAGGGTTGCTATAAGCCGCAGGCAACTTGATGGCCCAACAACAACTGGAGGATCAGCTATGAGTTGATTTCAACTCAAGAGAAATAACAAGACACGTATTAGAATAATAAATAGCAACTAGAACACTATTTAAAATATCTGAGCCAAAGGGTAGGCCTTATCCTGTCACACAAATTCTCATCAAAATGTTATCATAGCCTAGTAAGAACAGTATTGATTCTAGAGGCCAAAAAGTTCCAAGCTTGGTTCTGACACTGTTATGACTTAGAAAAGTTACATCTTCAGACTCTAAGGCTGAAACCAAAGGGACTTCATTTTGCTGACCTGTCTAACCCTACCTCAATAGGTCTTTGTGTTTAGGTAATAGGAAATAATCTCCTTCCCCTTAAACAAAGTTTTCTGACCCACACAGGAGCTAAGATGGGGAGTGCTAAAATAATGGAAAATGGTTTCAGACTCTTCAAACTGCTGGGACTACACTACACAGCTGATGTAGCATGGATAAATATCCTACCCTTTTGGTGCTGACACCAAATGAGCCTCAGCCCACTTTCACCAAAGTGAAACTCCTCCTGAGTTTAAACTGCCAATCTTTTAAGTAAGCAGACAAGCACTTAAATACTGTACTTCTAAGGGATCCTTGAGACTTGATATAGTTAAAAGAAACAGAATAGTTGCCTTACCTGGTAGACCACCAGGGCTCTCAACAGTAGAAATCACTAGGAAAATCTGTTTGCTAAGAATGCAGTGAGAACTTGAAGGGATGATGTGACTGTTGCCCCCAGGCCTGATAACTCTTTGAGAAACCTGATAACATCTAAAGCAGCCAGATAAAAACCAGACCAGACAATGAATTCTGGTAAGGCTTGGTCCTCCCTAGTCCTCCTATCCCTCTCTAAAACCACTTCCTAAAGCCCCTGTAGAAAAGGCAGTTCTTGACTGCTGGGGCACCATTTTTACTTTCTCCGCTCCCTGGTCACTTGGTATCCCTCTCAGACTTTGCAATAAAGGCCTGCTGGTTTCTTGGGGCCAGTTTCTTTCTCTCTCTTTTTTTTTTAAATTTAGGTTATTTTTCATTTCAATGAACATCTTCAGAGATTTTGGGATTCCATTCATTCATTGTTGCACCCTTCTACCCGCACAAACCCCTCCCCCCTCCCTTTTGCTCCTCTCCTTGAAAAGCAAAAGAAAAACTCCCTCATTGGTACACAATCCCCGCCCCCCGCACCTCCCCAAACCCCACCCCTTACCCCCA